GCATACCGCACTTGCAAATGAAGCCCGGGATTTGAATTTCCCGGGCTTCATTTGCATAAGCCGGCCGGCGCCATTTTTAAATGCCGGCTTGTTCGAACCCCGTGCAGTGCGGCTACACGCGGCAAGGCATACCGCACTTGCAAATGAAACCCGGGATTTGAATTTTCCGGGCTTCATTTGCATAAGACGGCCGGCGCCATTTTTAAATGCCAGCTTGTTCGAATCCCGCGCCGCGCAGCTACACGTGGCACGGGCTAGATAGTTCGAACTAGTGCGGAATGGCTTGCTAGTTCAAACTATCTAGCCCGTGCCACGTGTAGCCGCGCGGCACGGGGTTCGAACAAGCCAGCATTTAAAAATGGTGCCGGCTGGCTTATGCAAATGAAGCCCGGGAAATTCAAATCCCGGGCTTCATTTGCAAGTGCGGTATGCCTACATTACCCCGCTAGTTCTAACTAGCAGGGTAGTGTAGACATACCCTCTGATAAACAGTTTATTTTTAAATTATGTGATAAATAAAATTAAAATCTTGTGTTTATAGTTATGAAATAAATGGTCTGTTTTTTATTCATGCTATTTAAATCTAAAAAAATGTTTATAATTATATATTTTGTGGGGACAGAGTTCTGCAGCTGGGGACAGGGGAGAGAGAACAGGGTGCTGGGAGGGCAGAGGACAGGGTTCTGCAGAAGGGGACTGAGTGCCACTAGGGACAGGGTGCCAGTGCAGACAGAGTTCAGGGATTGGGGACGGGAATGGGGACAGAGTTCTTTAGCTGAAGACAGGGGAATAGGGACAGAATTCTGTAGCTGGGGACAGGGGAGTGGGGACAGGAATGAGGACAGAGTTCTGTGGCTGGGGACATAGGAGTAGTTACAGAGTTCAGGGAGTGGGGACAGAGTTCTGTAGCTGAGAAGTGGGGGTTGGGGAGCTGGGTGCCAGTGGAGGCAGAAAGTCCCCTGCATCTGCCTCCTTCCAGGATTTTCCCCCCCCAGAGGGAAGCCAGCGCATGCCTCCTCCTGGCCCGACTCCCCCCCCCACCCCCGGACCGTGCCTGCCTTGGGGCTGACCCCCCCCCGGTGCAGGGAAACTCCATGCGTGCCTACCCTGAGGCTGACCCCTCCGGCAGTGCAGGGAAACTCCATGTCTGCCTACCCTGGGGCCGACTCACCCTTCGAGTGCCGGTGCAGGGAAGTCGCTGAGCTCCTCTTTTGGGGCCAACACCCCCTCCTGCAGAGTGCCTGGCAGAGCAGCCAACACACTTCCGGAATCCCCGGAAGTGGCATTAAGCTGCGGGACTTCCATCCACCCGTGAGAAGCCAGCACTACCTCCATTTTTGCTGGAGGTAGGTAGTGGGGCTTCTTGCGGGTGGGGAAAAATGGGGGGAGGCGGACGCCTCACAATTAACAAGTAGATCACGATCGACCTGTTGGTGACCATGGGCCTCAGTCAATGGACTGCTAATCCGTTTTCCTCTACATGCATGGGTTCAAATGCCATCCTCGTCGGGTGTTTGCAACTCTCTCTCTTGCTTCTCCCAGAAGTTCAGTGCTAATTCTGCCTGTAGCCCTGCCTGCCCCAGCCCCCTCCCACTGCAGCCTAGGGAAAGGGGAAGTCTCCACGGAGACACTCCTGGATGTGACCCTCAATCCCGTCTGCCCTCAAGGGGAAACCTCACAAAGGAGATTCCAGGCAGCCAGCCCATGGAAGGTCTCTGAGATGGCTCCAGGCCTGCAGCCTGTCCTACCTGGCAGTTGCCATGGATCCTCTGTGAGGTCACTGCCTCCCAACCAATGAGCTGAGATGCTGTAAAAGTTCTTTGTGATGTCTCTGCTGCCTTGCAGACTCACGTCTTGCCCCTGGCCAGCCGCATGGCATGTGTGAGCCGCTCTCCCTGCCCCCACTCAATCAGGGCTGGTTCTGGGGCTCAAGCAGGGAACATCAGAGGCTGCTCAGGATGCCGCATTGCTAGGCCATGGGCCCTCCTGTGGGGCCCATGAGTGTTGCTGTCCCTGCTGCACAGACATGGCCATAGAGCCTCAGGAGGCTGCAGCGGTGGGAGACACTTCCCTGGTTTCGGGAGGGAGAGGAGACGTCAAGGCCCATGACTTGGAGCCAGCTACAGATACCTACTGAAAGCTGATTTTCAGAGGAGTGTGATCAGCCCTTCCTATGTATCTGGCTTCTTCAAAGGGGCTTAATCAGGAGCTAAAAGTTGAAGAAGAGACATATAGAAGGGTGAATTTCTGTCCCTGGCAGTGTTTTCTGTATGCCCATTGGCCTAATGGACAAGACACTGGCGTCTTAAGCCAGGGATTGTGGGTTCAAGTCCCACCTGGGCTGAGAGTTTCCTCTCGCTGACAAAGAGCTTACCTTCCTCTGCTTTCTGAGACAGTTAGCAAGGATGCTCCACAGTGGTTCTCTACAGAAGCTGTTCAGACCCATCACTACCAAATGCTGGTGTTAGGTGCAGATCTGAGTGCTAAAAGCCCAGGTAGCCAAACTCAGAATGAAGGGGTGTGTTTTGCTCCAGAAGGCCCAGGAGTGACAGACAGAAGAAGGTGGCTGTATCAAAGCAGCATCTGTCTGGAGACCAAGCAGAACCTGAGGGTGAGAAGGCCTATGAGAGGCAGAGACTCCAGATGAGTGGGGGGCTAGTTATTTGGTCTGGCAAACTGACAGAAAATCCCCAGGCCCTGAGCATGGTGCAGACCAGGCGATCCCTGAGACAAGACAAGGATTCTCAATTGATTCTAGTCAGCTCTGCCTTTAAACACTGGATGTAAAGTGTCAGATATAATTGAAGACTCCCAAATAGACCCTACACCACCAGAAATAAAACCTGTTTCCATCTTTTGTGGCTTTCAGTTAGCAGTGACTCACTATCCTCTGCTTAGTGTTCAAGTTATGGTAGACCCTAAGCCGGGTCATATTAAGTTCAGGTCTTTTAATCAGACAATATGGATAACAACATTTCATTCTCCCAGCTCCAAGTCTTAAGTGTATTTCAACCCAAAAGAGCCAAAATGATCACCTTGACACAGCAAGTGCATCTACTGATTGATCTCTGTGGCAAAGTAGGTTGTCTATATAAATAAGGTCTGCTTGTGAAGCCTTTTCCTACAGTTGATTAACAGATGGCAGCTCATTCAGACCACTGGCTGATAATAGTTAGTCACCCTGACCAGTCATTAATCATAGTCATGGACTCACCCTACTTTCCATTGTCTCTATGATTCTCTGATGACCTGTCACAAAAAAGGAGGGTGGAAAGGGAAACTGAAGGGAGAGACCTCTCTAAATTCACCAAAGAGCAGTATTGCCAAACCAAAAATCACAAGGAACGCCTACACAAAGTTATGAGAATGGTCTACAAATCATAAGATATTTTAAAAATAAAACATGTTGGATTTTTATAGGCCTTTTGTTTGAGTATTTAGGGTTCATGTTTTAAAGGTTTCCTCCTTAACAGTAAGGCCCAGAAGCATAGAGAACTTTTTAAAAATGAAAGCTGAGATTCCTACGTAATCAACTGATTCCAGGCCTTTAGAAAAACACCAAGGCTATGTCTACACTGGCAGCTCCTTGCGCAAGAACATCTCAGGTAACCAGTTGATCGCCCTATCTTCTCCATTCGAATCAGGGTCCTCCTTTCTTGCTTGTTCCTCTCTGCGTTTCTTCCCGGTATCCAACTTTCCCACTACCCTCAGGGTTTTGGTCACTGTCCCCCGACGAACCTAGTTTAAAGCCCCATCACTAGGACTGCGCATCCCATGCCTTCCAGTAGATAGTGTTCCTTTCCAGTTTCTTCCTTGTGAGGTCCCTTCCAAAGCATTCAGCACTGCAGAGCCTGTGGAGAGAGCCTGAAAGTGATTACTTACCTCTATAGCATTGGGGGATTCCCATGCTGGCCTTTTTCCCCTTCTAGAAGTTACATGCTGCCAGTTCTCTTCCTGATCATGTACTGCCCTCTCTGGCTCTTCCATCTGCCATGCTTGAAGTATTAAACGCTGCCTTCTATCGAGGAAGTCTTCATCCTCTCTGATCGAGCATAGGGTCGACACTTGGGCCTCCAGTCCTCTAATTTTTTCTTCCAAAATGGTGACCAGCTTGCACTTAGTGCAGATGAAATCCGTTCTTTCTTCCAGGAGGAAGACAAACATGACACATGCTGTGCAGGTAACAACAGCAGACCTATCACCATCCATCGCTCTGTCCTGGAGAAGGGATTTAAAAAGGCAAGAGAACCTCATGCCCTTCCCTCTCCCTTTCTGAACACCCTCTCTAAACTCCCTGTTAGCACTCACCTGTTCGCAAGCTCCTTGGTTGCTTGCCCAATGCCTTATAAAGCCCTGGAGTGCCTGAAAGTCCGTCCCCCTACCAAGGCTCAGCCAATCAGCAGAGGCTTCTAGAATTCAAACTTTAATTAGAAGCCAACATTTTCCACCTGCTAATCACAGCACACACTCAGTGAAGGAGGGTGAGGGCAAAGGGGAAGTGGAAAAAAAAAGCCTCACTCACAAACATGGGAAAAAACAAACAAAAACAAAAAAAAGCACACACACCAACCCTCTCTCACAAACACAAGCCCAGCACACAGTAAGAAAGCCCCAACAAGCATCAATGGTCTCAAGTTAGAGTGGGGGAAGGCGGTCTAGGTTGGATATTAGGAAAAATGATTTCCCATGGTGGGTGGGGAAGCACTGGCATGATTCCCTAGGGAAGTGGTGGAATCTCCATTCCTAGAGGGTTTTAAGGCTCAGCTTGACCAAGCCCTGGCTAGGAGGGGTTAGTTGGATTTGGTCCTACCTTGGGCAGGGGGCTGGACTTGATGACTCCTGAGGTCTCTTTCAGCCCTGGGATTGTATGATTCACCCACAGCTCCTCCCGTTCTGCTGTGGCCTCATCCTCCACAGTGAGTGGAGTGGGCAGGGCACCAAGTGGAGTGCATCCCAGCCTCCCTGCAGCACTGGGGAGGGGAAGAGAGGTGAGGGGGCTCATGCATCACCTCCTTGGAGCAACAAGGGAAGACAAGGGAAGAGAGGGAGCACAAGCACATAGCACAGCTCCCCTGCCTCCCCAGAACCTGAGGGAGGGAAGGAGGCTGTGTGGCATCACTCCTGAAATACCAAGGAGGGGAGGAGACCATGTGGCCTGACTCTCCAACCCAGAGCAGCATGAGCAGGGCTCGACAAATTGCTGTTTCTACTTGCCTGTGGCAAGTAGATTTCCACCAGTTGCCCTGTTTATCGGTGGCACACGCATGCGCTGTTCAGGGCTGGGGAGTAGATTTCGCCGCTGTTTGTCAAGCCCTGAGCATGAGGATGGGTATTGGTGATGGGAGCAGACATGGCCATGCCCGGTGGTTTGGAAAGGCAAAGTCTCCCTATGCCTCAGCTACTGGACACCCATAGGCCCACTTCTTCAGATAATTATATTCATTGTCTTCAATTACTGTGACTGCTTTTACCTTGTTAATCAAGCACAATGACCTCCTCTGTCATCTGAAATTCTGAGTGACTGTCATTTTGTGCATTGGCTACTGTTAATTATTGATACAGTATTCCAATACTGTGCTTTATAATTACTCAGTGGTACAGTATCTCATTACTCCATTTCTTAATTTGTTCCATGTAATTGGTTCCCAAGATGTACTAGTATAACTGGTTTTAGGCTATTTTTATTGCTAGAGACAATTTCAATATAAAACCATTGACAGTGTAACAATTAGCAGGGTGTCTTATAGGCAGTCGATCTAGGTCCAATTTCAAGTCAGGGCTGTAGCTGTTCAGTTCTTCTGATTTTCTGACAGGAAAGAAAGCATAGATAAAGCCTTAGTGAGGGTAGCTGACCCACCTCACCAAGGCTTGAGGTGGATTCACCTTCACTGGCAATTTTAATTCAAGACTGGGTTTTTTTTTGGTAAATGATCACCTCATTCCGGCCTTCGAATGGAAGAGACAGAGCCTCGGACTGGAGGAGCAAAGGCTTTAGCAGGAGTTAAAAGGGATTGTGCCACTCCTGCAACACCCAGGCATCACATTAGCTGGGAGGATGACGTTCAAGCTCTTTCAATTCCTGCTATTTAAAGGGTTTGCTGCTCCTGCCCTTGCTGCCAGTAGATGGCCTGGGAGCTGCAGATGCTAGAGACCTTTCAACTGCTTCTATTTAAAGGGCCCACACCTTTCCCAGGGACTGTTGCCTGGAAGGTGCAAGAAAAGTGGGAGCCCTTTAAATAGAAGCAGCTAACAGGGCTTGCATGGCCCTGGCTCCCAGGCAATGGGATTGCATGGGGTGAGAGCTGTGATCCTTTTCAAATGCTTCTATTAAAAAGGCTTGCACCTGTGAGTAGCTGCCAGGCAACACAGTCATCCGGCAGGTGTGAGTCCTTTAAACACAAGCAGTTAAAAGGACTCACAGCTCCCACCCTGCTGCTAGTGTTGTGCCAGGGAGTTGCTATGGGCAAACCCTGTTAACTACTTCTATTTAAAGGGCTCACACCTTCCTGCACCTACCAGACAATGTGTTAGCCCTTTAAATAAAAGTAGTTAAAGGGAGTCACGTGGCTTTTGTTCCCAGGAAATGTGCTGGAGGCAGGGCCTGAAACAGCCCCACAGGCCAGATCAAAGTCCTAGGCTGGCAGGATCCAGCTCACAAGGTGGAATTTGCCCACCCCTGTGTTAGACACTAGCTCGTGCCTCAAAGCAGGAGCTTTTATAGCCCTGCCAAACTTAAGTGTCTTTTTAATCTTTCTTGTTCCCAAATGGAATGTTCTCTTTCTCCACACAAGCTCCAAATACTCCCACACTCTGGGCTTACAATGAATTCTGGTGACAATTTTTACATTGTATGGAAAAATATTTTGATGTGCTCTGAACTGATGGCCTTTTATTTTCATTAACATTTCTATTCAGTCAGAGCAGTTGAAATGTTTCTCTTCTACATGGATTCTCTGATGATTAAGAAGGCTTGTCTTCCAACTGTAGCTTTTCCCACAGTGAGAGCAGCTGAAGGGTTTTCTCACCTGTGTGGGTTCTCTGATGCTCAATCAGGCTTGAGTTCTGAATGAAGCTTTTCCCAAAGTGAGACCAGCTGAAGGGTTTCTCGCCCATGTGGATTCTCTGGTGCCTATTCAGGCTTGCCTTCTGAGTGAAGCTTTTCCCACAGTGAGAGCAGCTGAAGGGTTTCTCCCCTGTGTGGGTTCTCTGATGCTCAATCAGGCTAGAGTTATGACTGAAGATTTTCCCACAGTGAGAGCAGCTGAAGGTTTTCTCCCCTGTGTGGATTCTCTGATGTTTAATCAGGCTTCTGTTATGACTGAAGCTTTTCCCACACTCAGAGCACTTGAAGGGTTTCTCCCCTGTGTGGATTCTCTGATGATTAATCAGGTATGCCTTCTGACAGAATCTTTTCCCACAGAGAGAGCAGCTAAAGGGTTTCTCCCCTGTGTGGATTCTCTGATGATAAATCAGGTTTGCCTTCCGACTGAAGTTTTCCCCACACACAGAGCAGTTGAAGGGTTTCTCCCCTGTGTGGATTCTCTGATGTTTAATCAGGCTTGAGTTATTAGTGAAGCTTTTCCCACAGTGAGAGCAGCTGAAGAGTTTCTCCCTTATGTGGATTATTTGATGCTCAGTCAGGCTTGCATTATGACTGAAGCTTTTCCCACAGTGAGAGCAGCTGAAGGGTTTCTCCCCCGTGTGGATTCTCTGATGTTTAATCAGGTTTGTGTTCTGACTGAAGCTTTTCCCACAGTGAGAGCAGCTGAAGGGTTTCTCCCCTGTGTGGGTTCTCTGATGCTCAATCAGGCGTGCCTTCTGACTGAAGCTTTTCTCACAGTGAGAGCAGCTGAAGGGTTTCTCCCCTGTGTGGATTCTCTGATGATTTTTCAGGGTTGTATTCTGACTGAAGCTTTTCCCACACTCAGAGCACTTGAAGGGTTTCTCCCCTGTGTGGGTTCTCTGATGCTCAATCAGGCGTGCCTTCTGACTGAAGCTTTTCTCACAGTGAGAGCAGCTGAAGGGTTTCTCCCCTGTGTGGATTCTCTGATGATTAATCAGGTTTGCATTCTGATTGAAGCTTTTCCCACACTCAGAGCACTTGAAGGGTTTCTCTCCTGTGTGGATTCTCTGATGATTAATCAGGGTTGTGTTCTGACTGAAGCTTTTCCCACAGTGAGAGCAGCTGAAGGGTTTCTCTCCCATATGGTTTCTCTTATGTCCAACAAGGCGTGACCACTGACTGAAGCTTTTCCTACAGTCAGAATTCTTCAACAGTTTCTCTGACCTCTGGTTTCTCTGGTGTTCAGTGCCACCTAATTGGCAATGTAATGTTTTCCCACAGTCAGGGCACTCACAGATTCGCTCAGTTGGATGTATTCCCTGATGGATAATAAGCTCAGGGTTCTGATTGAAGTAATTCCTACAGTCAGAGAAGTTGAAAGGTTTCTTGCCTCTGTGGATCTTCTGGTGTAAAATGAGGACCTGTTGACATTGGAAACTTTTCTCACAATCACTGCAAGCATAGGGTCCCTCTTGATGGGGGACTTTCTGTTGAACAGTTTCTTTGTTTCTTTTCACACCTCTGCTCCTGTGACTGCATTTACCTCTTCGCTCCACTGCATGATTTTCCTGCTGCTTTTCTGAGCTAAGATAACTCTCAAGGATCTCTCTCTGCTCAGGACTCTGGGTCACATGTCCTTCAGATCTTCCCAGTAACATCTCATGTGGAGCAACTTGCTCCAGTCCTGCCCACTGAAGACTCTCATTATTCTCATTCAGCATCCCATCACCTGCTGGGACAAAGATGGAAACAAGACAGGAGTCATTCTCTGTGCTGAGCAGAAAGGGGAACAGGAAAAGGGGGAGAAAACACCCAAACAACAGTGTGTGTGTGGGGGGGGAGGGGAGTTGAAATTGTCACAGCCCCCTCACTTCATGAAAACTGACTTAATATGAATTTTAGTAAAGCACCTTCAAGATGTTACATGATGTGTTATGCCTACCATTTTTGAAGTTACAGTCTCCATAATCTGAGTATGTACAGTTCGACATAGGAAGCATGAATCTGGTTTTAAGTCCAACTGTGCTAATGAGTATCATTAGTGATAGGTTAGAAACTTAGTGACTCAGTGTTCAAACCAACCACCAATGATGATTCCATTTTTGCTGTAAGCCCAAACAGTGGTTGATCCTAGAAAGTCACATGACCATGTCTCAGAAAGGTGCCTGTGTCCTTCCTTCAGTGATTGCTATTGCAATTGCTGAGAAGCTTGTCTGTGTGCCCTCAGGGTGTGTCTGTCAGGGCCCCAAGGCAGGCAAAGTCTAAAATATCCAACCTGGCTAGCTGATGGTTAGAAGGCGATCGCCTGCCTGACCTTCAGCATTACTCACTTAGGGTATGTCTACACTACCCTGCTAGTTCAAACTAGCGGGGTAATGTAGGCATACCGCACTTGCAAATGAAGCCCGGGATTTGAATTTCCCGGGCTTCATTTGCATAAGCGGGGTGCCGCCATTTTTAAAACCCCGCTAGTTCGAACCCCATGCCGCGCGGCTACACGGGGCACGAACTAGGTAGTTCGAACTAGGAAGCCTAGTTCGAACTACCTAGTTCATGCCCCATGTAGCCATGCTCTACGGGGTTCGAACCAGCGGGGTTTTAAAAATGGCAGGCACCCGCCTATTCAAAGACAAGACGGGGGCTACTGGGTTCGAACTAGCGGGGTTTTAAAAATGGCGGCGTCTTGCTTATGCAAATGAAGCCCGGGAAATTCAAATCCCGGGCTTCATTTGCAAGTGCGGTATGCCTACATTACCCTCCTAGTTCGAACTAGGAGGGTAGTGTAGACATACCCTTAATAAGTTTCCCCAGAAGGACGTGTTACTGTAATACTAATGAATAAACAGGGATGACAAGTCAGGGGTACTTACTCTTCAAAAGGGACTTATCAGGGATTCCCCTCTGGACTATAGTTTGTGGTCCCCACCAGCAGAAGGAAGATTGGGCCTCTGAAAACTGCCGCTGGGTCAATCATTTTTGATGGGGGAACACACTAAAATTTTGGAAACTGCTCAAGGGCCACACATCTCTCTGCAGGGATGTGGGGTTTGGGAAGGAGGCTGGGTACAGAAGGGAGCTCAGGGTAGGGGACTGGGATGCTGGAGAGGGTATGGAGTCTGAGAGGGCGTTTGGGTGAAGGAGGGGGTTGTGACCTGGATTTGGGGTGCAAGAGAGGATTCTGGCCTGGGGGGACGGGTGTAAAAGGTTGGGCAACAGAGGGAATTGTGACCTGGGGCGGGATGTGTGTGCAGAGCATTTGCATGGTGACCTGGGGAAGGAAGGAGTGGTGGCCTGGGTTAGGGAGCTGGGGAATCGGAGGGCCTGAGGTGCCAGAGGCAGGCTCTGGCTGGGAGTCATTTACCTTAGGCTGCTTCAAGCCAGCAACCCAAGAGGATCCCCAAAGCAGACTCCCTCCTGCAGCAGCCCCAGGCCACTCAAGAACATTACCTCCATGTGCTGCTCAAAGCTATATGGCCCCGGGAGGGATTCGAGGAGAGACTATGTGCGCTTCCCTGCCCGAGGCCAATCATTACAGCTGGGCGCAGGGCACAGGGGCAAGAGAGTACACAATCTCTCTCACCCCCTGCAGCCAGGGCCGCATGGTACCTAAACAGAACCACCAGCCTTTTTAAACAGCTGGTGGCTCTATGCATCGTGCACCCCTGGAGAAGTGGAGAGGAGACTTGGCTTCCGGGCAGGGGAGTCAGCAAAGTCTCTTGCCTCTCAGTTTCCCACTGCCAGGACACATCTTGCTGTTGAAAATGGCTGGCAGCTCCCTCTAGGCACTGCATGCCCCTGGTGGGGGGAAGCCACCAGCTTCAGGGCCCTGACAGAGTAAGCCTTGGGTCAGATCAAACAGTCTGGTGGCCCAAATCTTACTCACCCCTGCTCCAGAACCACACCCAACTTCAGGAATTATTGCAGTTTGGGGGCATTTTATTAACCTGTTGTAGACGAGTGTAAGCGACTGAGATGATATAACATTAAGGTTTAAGCGAAAGTTCTTTGTGGTCCTGTTTGTGTCAGTCACTTATTGGTTGGAGGCCACATCTCCTTGGATTTACCTCCCAACACCACCTCATACAGAGTCGTTACTCAGTGTTTCAGGAGGAAGGAAACCTGAGTATCCTCCCGCTTCCACCTTGTTCCCCCTTCCCTGACGAGAGCTCAAGACAGGCTGAAGGTGGCAGTGAGGCTTGAGTTTCAACATTACTGCACCTGAAACAATGGGATTCAATTCTGATCACTCAGTATTTTCGAGAAACAAGCTGCTAATTATGCTGCCTGAACTTGGCTGCAAGTGTCTAAATTTAGGGTCCTGCAGCTGAAGTGTCTCATGTTCCTCCATTTATTTGTAGCAGTGACTCAGGCCCTCAAATAAGAACTAAACGAACAAAGACTTTATAACCCCTCCCCACAATAGAGATGAATAGAAGTTAATCCCAAATGTTTAGCAGTAAACAGCTATGGTGATTGTTTGCAGGATGAGACCCCAAAATTTGTAGATTCACAGTACCCCACCCTGCACTGGGGGCTACTGGCAGTTTTCATGGGCCCCAGGCAGGGAGCACAACCAGCTCTGCTGGGAGTAGCATGGGGCCCTCGATCACTTCCTAGAATCTTGGAGTGGCCCCCGTTAAAAATCATTGCCTGCCCCTGTCTAACACAGAAAGCACCAGAGAAGATTAGTTCAGGTGATTGAGATACTGGATTCTGCATCCAGATTCCACCCAAATACTCTCAGAGAAGCAAACAAAGGGAAGAAACTCCTGACAGCTAAGAGGATGGCTGGGGAGCTGTGACAGGCATTTGTCAGAATTATACCTGCAGCCCTACCTGGGGAACATGGGGCGGAAGTGAGGGCTGTTGCTCATAGCTCATTTTTGGGAGTCCCAGCTTTTTCCTACATGTGCCAGAATGTTTCGGTGTGAGTTTCCCTGACTCCTCACCTGTGCAGGTGACTCTCAGGATCCCCATTTCTTTGGCAGGCTGGAGATCTGGGACCCACGGCTCTTCCCCTTGTTCCAGCCGGGCGATCAGGTCAGGTTTGGGAATGGAGAATCCTGAAAGGGGTGAGATCAGACAAGGTGAAGGCACATGGAGTCTGGGTAGAGTAGGTGTCAGAAGGAACGTTTCCTGAGCTCAGTCTCATCCTATATGGGACTGGGGAAACTGAGACATCTTGAGAGCAGCAGACTTCTGGGGCAGAATGGGGTGGGGGATGTGAGAGGAAGTTGGGATTGTATTCACTCTGCATGTGATTTCTACTGTCCTATAATAATCCTGTGTGTGTGCCTCAGTTTCCCTGGGCACTGCACCACAATCTTGATGGGGATGGGAATTTGGGAGTGACTCACTGAGGGAGGATGCCCTGGCCAGCATGTTGGAAATGGCCCAACAGCATGGCAATCTTCGCCTGGGAGGGGTGTGTGACCAGGGGACAGCTTTTGCCTGGGACACTGGACAAAGGTTTGAGACAGGGCTGGCTGCAGCCAGGAAAGAGCTGTGGAGAGTGGAAATGTCTCTCTGGCTTTGGGGGCAGAGGTGTAGAACAAGACCCTTGACTCTGGGTGGAAGTGAGTCTCATTGGCTTGGGGAAAGAGATGGGGGACAGGGCCCTTGGCTTTGGGTTCCCTTCTCTCCAAGATAGATTGCGCTGAATGCTCTTGGTTCCTGTGCTAACAAGTCTGTTCTACGCTATTTCGCTGTGAACTAATAAAGCTTCTGTTGTACCTGCTGGCTGAGAGATACATCTGCTGCAGATGGAGGTGCGGAGCTCAGTGACCCTCCCACCCCTCAGTGACAGAGGGTGCTGTCATGCCCTCCCTAGGGCTACGTGTACACTGCACAGTTAATTCAGATAAGCTAGTCCAGAATAGTTATTCTGAACTAGCTGATTTCAAAATAGCACATCTACACTGCAGGGAAACTTCAATATGAGTCTGAGGCAGGCTTCCCTAATGTAGACGAGCTATCTCGATTGAGAGCCCCAGGAAGAATAACTTAGAATGGGCCTGGTGAGGGGCTATTTTGAAATAGTAGAAGTGGAGTATCTACACACGCCTTATTTTGAAATAGCTATTTTGGAATAGGCATTATTCTTCATAGATGAGGTTTACAGAAGTTAGAATAAGCCGTCTGTTTTGAAATTATTTTGAAATAACAGAATTTCTGTGCAGATGCTCACATAGCTATTTAGGAGTAATGGCTGTTATTACAAAATAACTTGGCTGTGTAGACACACATCCTAGGAATGGTCTGTGGGCTCTGGGGGGACTTGCTGACATACACACAGCTCTATGGTTGAATTCTGGGCTATTTCCAAGACTGCAGAGCCCAGACCCCTCCACAGATGAAGCCAGTCCCAAAGAGGAAGGTTAACCGTATGTACAGGAGAAACAATGTAGGCAGAACAGTTCCCTGCTTCTGGCCTCTGGAAGCTGAGGAGATGGGGTAGAATTAGCATGTCCCCTGGGTGTCTGACTCCCCTGTTGCCCAACAGGGGACAAGGGGATGAAAGTGTCTCTCACACAGGGGCTGTGGGCCCCACTCCTCTCTAATCTAACTCACCATGGAAAAACCTGACCCAATGCAGAAACTCTGGCCCCAGGGCTTTGCTAGCTGAGGCACAGGAATCCTTACCCAGCGAAGCCACAGACTCGTAGTTCTCCTGCATGACGTCCCTGTAGAGGGCTCTCTGAGCAGGGCCCAGCAGCGCCCCCTGCCTCGCGGTGAAATACACAGCCACCTCCTCGAAGGTCACTGGCATCTGAAAAAACAGGGGGCCCCCACTCAGCCTGTGCCACTCCAGCCACAGCCCCACTAGTCACGATGGAGGAGGCCCAAGGGGCAGAATTTCAACCTGTCCTGCCCAGAGAGGCCAGAAGGCTCCAGGGGAGAGAGAGGGAAGAGCTCCTTGTGCCTCCCAGCAGATGGAGCAGGGCAGGGTGTTCTCAGTCACCCCTGGCCAGCCACAGGCTGAGGTGGGAGCAGAGTTTGCCACAGGGACAGGAATTCCAGCCCCTTCCTAGTTCATGGCAGCCTCTGCCTAGCAAGCTCTGTCTCCAGCATGAGAAACAGCAAGAGGAATGACCAGGCTGGGTCAGAGCAAAGGCTCCTCTAGCCCAGTGTCCTGTCTGCCCATAGCGGTCAGTGCAGGTGCCCTGAGGGAATGAACAGAACAGGGAATCACCCAGTGATCCACCCCGTAGCCCTTTCCCAGAGTCTAGCAAACAGAAACTTGGGACACCCTCTCTGCCCATCCTGGCTAAAAGCCATTCATGAACCAATGGAGACTGGTCAGTTTTCCCAGCCCTGTCCATGTAGAGTTTCCTCTTTCAGAAATGGGGGAATATTCACCCCCCTCCCAATGGGCCTGTTCAGACCATCAGGCCCTAGGCTGAGCAATTCCCAGCAGGCTTATCCCATCCTGACCTACCCTGTGTATTTCCTGCCCCATCCCCTCTGCAATAGCCTCCCTTCAGCTCTCCACACAATCCCCTACCTGAGCTGGCTCCACCACAGCCATTTCCCTGTGCTGCCTCCTGCTAGATGAGACAATCTGGAGCAAAGTGTGGATGTGAGTCTTCAGCCTGTCAGGATGAGAGAAGCATCACAGGGAGGAGGGGGGAAATTGTTTTTGGTCTCTGAGGACAGGATAAGAAGCAATGGGCTTAAACTGCAGCAAGGAGGGTTTAGGTTGGACATTAGGAAAAACTTCCTGCCTTTCCGGGGGGTGAAACACTGGAATAAATTGCCTAGGGAGGTTGTGGAATCTCCATCCCTGGAGATATTTGAGAGCAGGTGAGACAGACACCTGTCAGGGATGGTCTAGATGGTGCTTTGTCTTGTTGTAAGCGCAAGGGACTGGAATTGAAGATCCCTCGGAGTCCTTTTCAGTTCTAACATTGCATGATTCTATGATTGGGGAGGTTTCCCAAGGGGCTTTGGTCCATTGCACAGTAGAGCCAGACTTTGTTTTTAAATAATATATTTCCAGCACAAATGTTTCAGCATTGTCTTTATTTATGGGAAGAGCAGGGAAACTGTTTTGGGTCAAGGGTCACTGACCCCCAGAAAAAATCAATCAGGGACCACACATGTGAGTTGCAAAAAAACCCCAAACCCTCCTAGCCCCCCCAAACCCCACTGATGTGGCCGCAACTGAGACACCTCCCTCCCCTGGCACCGCAGCCCCATGCGAGTAGGGTAGGTAGAACTGAGGTTCAAGGACTCAGGCCAGATAAATTTTTCTGGGGTTCCAGGATTAGTGGAATTTGTGGGCCCCTCTACACTCTGAGGTGGGGCCAAAAATGAGGGATCCAGTGTGCAGGACAGGGCTGCCAGTCAGTGAGATAGGGATGGGGTGCAGAATCTGGGTGGAAAATAGGCTACAGGAGCAAGCTGGGGGTAAGTGTCTGGTCAGGAGGTAGGGGACAGGAGGAGGGTCCTGGTGGGGCCCTGAGCAGGGGACAGGAGGCAGGTGGGGCCCTGGGCAATGTACTCGTGGAAGTTTGAGCAGGGGGGACATGGTACTCATGGGGGTTTGTGGTCTGGACAGGGGGGCAGGGTACTTGTGGTGATCTTGGTGGGGGCAGGGTACTTGTGGGGGTTGGGGTCTGGGCAGGCAGGCAGAGTACTTCTGTGGGTCTCGGCATGGGGGGCATGGTACTCGTGGGGGTTTGGGCAGGGACAGGGTATTTATG